TTTTTTTTTGTTGTTTGAAAAATATAGTTGTGGATTCGTTAAATCTGGCTTGAAACAAATTATTTATAATAATCTTTCTTTGTTTTACATTTATATTTGTTATCATTTCCTCATTTCTAAATATGGTTTAGTTTTTTCTAAATATGGTCACCCAAATTATAAAGGCGACCAAATGGGATCAGCTGTTTTCGCTACCGCTCTAATTCTGTTTAAGTAGGCGAAATAGCTGGGCGAACGGTGAACGACAGCATCGCCCAATTCGGCGAAGTTTGCCGTTCGCCGGTATTGTATTTCAAGCATTATATGTCGTTGGAAAAATAGAAAGATATAATCTGGCCACAATCACAGTCGTCGCGTCGCCAAAATAATTATCTACATACGTGGAAAAATAATTTGACAGCTGTGGTAGCTCGTCGTTTTCGCTGTGTTCGGGCTATAACACTACATCATCCCCTCTCCTGGAAAAATACTCCCATTCCGAGATAATCAGAATTAAATATTTACTATGAAGTTAAAACTAATGACCATATACATACCTACTAAGTACGTTTATACGTAAGCTTTTTGAAAAAAAAATAATAATTTCCAAATAAATAGCTCACTGTTTATTAAACAGTGAAAAACTCTAATTTAATACTGCCTGATTATAAAAAGGCAATTTTATGATCATCGAAAAAGAAAATAAACTTTCTTCTATATAAAATAGCCATTAAAAAATTTGTACACTATTATACTAAAATTGAATAATCTATGAAGCAGCATGTATAAAATTTGAAACTTTGGTAAAAAAATAACACAAAAAAAATTCACTTGCAAAAAATTGTTAATGTTTAAAAAGAACAGGTGTTCGCAGATATATGTATGTATGTATTATGGACGCAGGCAGGTGTACATATGTTTATAACACAAATGAGTTTTAAATTTTTTGGTCAACGTTTTTACTTTGACACTACGGAAAATCCAAAACACTCCACTTTTTAGCTCATTTCACTCCGTAAAAAAAAAACAAAAAAACATTTTTATACAGTACTGTGCTTTTTGAAATAGTTTTCCAATAAAATAAAGGAACTCCTGGTATTATGTGTACCGTTGTACACCCCAAGACAAAATGATATGTCTAACGAAAGCCCTGCAAATCCGAATTTCCCAACAACAATATTCTAATTCGAAGTGTCTACAACATACGGTCGATTTTTGAATTCCTTTTTTGCTGACGGCGTAACGCATTTTCTTCCATAAAAAGTTACCAAAATCAAAAACTTGTTTTGCATGGAAGAAAATAACAACACCGTCGGCAAAAACAAAATTCTCAACCTGTTGAAACTTGCCCCTTATTTCCAATAAGCTACAAAACTGCATACTTGTTTTTTTTTTTTCAAAAATTATGAATACAAAGTTTGTTATTGTGAATTGTTTTTAATTTCTCTACAAAGTTAGAAATGTAGATTTATATAGTGTTAAATATTATATTATTGACTAGACTTTAATAAACAATTAATAAACATTAAACAAACGAAATGAACATAGTCAAAACTTGTCAAGATGTCGTGACCCTATTTTTAATATAACAGTATAAAAACACACTTGAGGGATTCACAACGGTGTCGTAAGTGTCGTATTGTTGTATGTCGTAAACTTTAAAAGCTCAAATAAACGTTTATTGAACTTTAAACCACAACCAGCTGTTTTTTAATACTGCGAATATTGATAATATAACTTTGATGGTACTTTTCCAACCCCTTAATATGTTTTTAAAGAGTTTCAAGTTTACGACAACATACAACAATACGACACTTACGACAACTGTGTATTAAAAAAGCTAGGCTGCAAAAAAAGTATAAATGATTTATTTTTATTTTTTTTTTAACCATAGTATCTATTTTTGAAGTCCAAAAAATAGTATTCGGGAAGGTTCTGCAATTCACTTCCGAGTGAATTTCCACCCCTGCCAATTCCAATTCAAAGTGAACTTGACTCTAATTCATTCGGAAGTGAATTGCAGAACCTGCCGGATTATACTGCAAAAAAAATAGATACGAGCGTTACATATGGCTATAGCGCAATAATTTTTCTTTTTTTTTTGAAGAAAAAAGTAATACATAAGCAAGTTTTAAAGGCGAACAAATTAAAATTTAAATTTCTTAATTTTTTTCGCAATTCTGATGACAATGAATTCTTGGAAGTCACATTTTCACTAACTTTGTATGTTTTTTAATTTATAAATTAGTTTTTTGTTAAAACGATTTTCTGAATTTTTTATTTATTACTAAGGTTTTCGCAGGCGAGTAAATTTGACCTGGGGTCCCGCACCAAAAAAACCCGTTGCGCTCATAAAATAACATTCAAGAGAAATGACGAAAAGACTTTAAATTTTTATTCAATTTGTCATTTAATTTCATAAAATATTTTAGGAAGAGAAGCAGCAGCAGTTGACCCTTGAACCGTACTCGTCGCTAAAACTCTTTATTTAAAGGTAAAGTCTTTATTTTAGATATTTACTATCAAACGCTTTGAGTGGGGTCTATGGTTATCAAATGAATAAACCATTTTAGTAAGTACTCATGGGCAATTAAAATGCCAATGATATGATGTATGTATGTTGTTTGTATGTAAGTACGTATGTACGAGTATGTAGCTATTAATTTTTATTGACTATTTTTTTAAATTTCTTAAAATTACGACTACTTTGGTTGTACAGTAATCACTCGAATTACATAACCAGGCCTAAAATCCATAACAATTTCCAGGTGTAAAAGAACAGTGTAAAATTGTTTCGTTAGTGTTCATTGTAATATAAAATTTTGTAGCTGAATAGAGCGCTGAAAGCCTGAAAAGCGCTGAATGCCTGAAAAGCTTTTGTGGAGTTCTGCTCTTAATACCACAATTTCTGGATATATACTACGTATATTTATAACAAAATTATTTTTGATTATTATAAATGTTTTTAAGTTTGTGGCCGCTGTGTAGCGTAGTGGTTAGCAGTGCGCGCTACCATTCCGTAGAGCCTCGTTTAAAGCCCGGTTCAACCCAACATCAAAAAAAGTATTTTTTTTTTCCTAATAGCGGCAGGCAATGGCAAACCTCCGAGTGTATTTCTGCCATGAAAAAAAACAGCTTCTCATGCAAATACAGTCGTTTCGTTTATTTTCGTTAGTGTTCATGATTTTCTAAGTCACGAAAGTCGTAAGGTGCCTGTATGTGAGTACGTGCAGACTTGCAGCTTGGTAATAAATCAATTTGATATGAATGGGTGATATGAAAAATCTTCTAGAATTTTAATATTCACAAGCATGCCATAATAAAAACAAAAGTACATTCATATGTATGTACATACAGAGTTGGGCAAAATTTATTCGAATGACGAATAACAAATGAATAAATTGTTTTTCTTGTTATTCGTAAACAATAAATAATTTTGGTTATTCAAAAAAAAATTATTCGAATGACGGATAAATTATGTTATTCGTTATTCGAATAATTATTATCTTCATTAATTATTCGAATAACGAATAAAATAATAATAAAACAAGTAATTTATGTATATAGATATGTACATATATTTATGTATAAAATGATAACCGTTTTCGTTGTTGTGATTTAACTCAAACCCCTAGATAGATTTAAATCAAATTTTCGGAGGTTATTCCATGCGCATTAAGTCCTATTAAAGGCTACTAGAAAACTCCTTTGTGGCGATGGAGCCAAGTTATTTATAAAAGCCGTATTTATGAACTGATTTCGTTCAAATTCAAAATGTGTTCTTCCTGCATGATGAAAAATACTTATGCGAAAAATGGACCCGCTAGGTGGCGCTACAGTTGAGTTATTTAGAAAATCCCTACTTATTGTACAATCAGGTTGCAATTCATAATGGTGCTGCAGTCGAAATCTCTAGAAACCCCATATGTCTGGACTCCTTTGTTTTTTATGTTTATATTATACGAATTTACGATGTCCCACGTCGTCATATACCCTAAATGCGACCTTGCATCTACCTCCGCTTGATGAAATTGCTCGGGCGGCCATTGCTGCAGCAGTAAGACTCAAGGAAACCAGCTCTTGGATATTTTAAAAGTGGCGAATCAGCAAGGAAAGTTTCGACCACATCCTTCCAATTCCTATATCAATGGCCAAATTTTACATCGAGGACGCACATCTGTGCTCTTCAGCATCCTTATAAGAACTTTTTTTGGCCTACATGACATAAGACTAGAGGTTGAAGCATCGGACCAATGTTGTAGTTGCAAGATCATAGAAGAAGATTACGCACGCTTAGAAAAGATCTCACAAGTGGAGGTAAAGCTCATGACATTGAAAGGAATTTTTTCTTGCATATAGCATCAGAGCGCTATTTTTTTGGCAGAAATATGTGTGAGAATTTTTACTTTACCCATATTCGGTTTTCAACGCTATTCTTGCATTGGCCAACGCAAAAAATCTTATCAGGGGCCGCGAAACCATAGGGATTGGGCTAGTATTCTTGATAAAATAGTAAACAAAGTTCAGCTAACTTACAATCCTTGACAATAGAAATAAAAGTAAAAGGTGGCTCAATGTGTTAAAAATGAGTTTTTATTCATTATTTAAAATAACGAATAAAATAACGAATAAATTATTCGCAAACAATTTATTTACGAATAATTTATTCGGGAATAAGTTATCTGCGAATAATGATATTACGGATAAAATTTTATTCGAATAATTACACTATGTAACAAGGTTTTTGTCCCTGGGTTGTAATTGTTATTTCCTAGTCAGTTAGGTCCCAAAAGTATAGAAAACAGCTATTGTCGCAAGATAACTTTGCTTTTGTGACCATGGCAGCGCTTATCTGCGTTTATTTTTATGCTTGTTTGTTGAAAACTGATACACGAGCGCATACAACTTGTTTTCTCTACATTTGTGTGTGTTAAAACTAGTGTTGGGCAGTATCGATTCCAAAAGTACTCAGTACTCGATGCTGAAAAGTATCGACAGTACCCGATGCTTAAAAGTATCGATACCAAAGTAGTAAATACACAAAAGTACTCGATACTGCCCAACACTAGTTAAAACAACAAAGTCGTCGCAATAAATTTTGCAACATTTTTGTGATTTATTGAGAGTTGTTTCTTATTTTATTACAGATAAATTCGTTCAAACATGGCTTCACGAGGCTGCAAGTATCCTGCAGATGCATTTTGTTATGTCTGCGGATATTTTATCAAAACAAGAGCGAATAAGTACTCTTTGGAAACAGGTTTTAAAATGTGCGAAGCTTACAATGCTTATTTCGGCATGCCTGTGGGTGATCAAGACAAATCCTGGGCACCTCATTTCGCGTGTGAAAACTGCAAAAGGACTTTGGAAGGTAAGACATTTTAAAACTATATTGCTTTGTTATGGGTAAAATAAATGTTTCTATTAACTTTTTTATTAGACAGTACTTTTCTTTTCTAATTTTTTTTTTCAGGATGGTACAGAGGGGAAAAGAGAGCTATGAAGTTTGCTGTGCCAAGAGTTTGGAGAGAACCCACTGACCATTCAAGCAACTGCTTTTTCTGCATGGTGGACCCTTCTAAACGTCGGACTGGCAAAAAAGCAAGTCAAATTTTGTATCCTGACATTCCTTCATCCATGGCTCCAGTTCCACACAGCTCTGACCGCCCCGTTCCTACTCCTCCAGAGAAAGAGCAGGTGTCTTCCTGTGAGAGCCCTGATTCCATGAGTGTGGAAGACAATGAAGGTGAAGGATTTAATTTACTAGCTGATAAAAAAAACCCATACTATCCCAACCAAAAGGACATGAATGATTTGATCAGAGATCTTGGTCTAACCAAGTCCGATGCTGAACTTTTGACGTCCAGACTGATACAGTGGAATTTGCTGGATCCTAGTGTTACAAGTCACATGTCAAAATACAAATGTACAAATATAAATATAAATAAATATAAATGTACAAAATAGCGCTAATTTTTCAGAAAGGAATTAGACGGCAGAAAAAATATTTAATTTTGCGCAAATTCATACATCAAAATTTAGAAAGGAATCCAGACGGCAGAAAAAGTATTTCTGAATTTTGACTTATGAGTTTTATCTTACGAGTTTTAACTTATGAATTTTGACCTGTGAATTTTGGCTTTCTAAGAAAAGGTTTCTGCCTAATGTTTTCTGAATAAATGTGTTTCTGAATTTTTGTTTTCTGAATTCGGAGGGAGAAACCGGCCAAAGTTAGTTTTCATGGCTCCAAAAGATTAAGTAAATACATTTACGACTAGTCAAAGGTGAATTAAAGTAAAATTTTAAGCAACGAAAAGTAATGCAAAATCAGCTTTTCAACGTCTGTGGTGTATTCTCGCATCTTTTTCTGAAATTTTCCAACAAAAAACACACTGATTCGTACTACAGGAGTTAAATTTTTGCAGATATCACTCATATGTACAGTGTATAACAGACAGCCTTCTGAAGGGGCTTTACATAGATATTTAAATTAAGAAGATAAAAGTATGTAAGTACTAATAGAGTAAAATAAGGAAATTACAAATAACGACATGTTCTTGTTTAAATTTAATTGTTTCCTTTTTCCGCTGCGCCTTTTCAAGTGAATAAGCTAATTTTTCTTTTTTTTAAGGCACATAAAAAAGACTACTTACTCAAGATATTTTGTCCTTTTTCACAACATAAAATTCGATGTCTCATTGTTGCAAATGTCTGACTTGAGATTGTTTGTTAGAAATATATTTCACTAAAAATTTATAAATAATGAAAATTAAAAAAAAAAATTAAAAACAGCTCAAAATGCGCTTGACTACATAATCAAAAGTGGCGAAAATGGCGAACAAATTATTAAGGGTATTCATCAAACCTGGTAATCAACAAATGCATTTTTGTTAAACTACAACATTTTTAATTTTAACGAGAAAGTTCGCCAAACAATTTAAAATCGTAGTTTGGCATTAGTAGTAGATATGTTCATGTACGTTCTATTTGAGCCCATTTCACAGTGGAGCGTTAACTGAAATTTAGAAGCTCACTTACCATTTACAGTTCCGGAATACAAAATGAGCTACCGCGATTGTGAAAAGTACCTACTATATAACGTTGGTGATACGGCAAAACACGCTATGTCACTTATTACCAGGGACGTGAACCGGAAAACCGCTTTTTTCTATTAATTAACTGAACCATTAACCGAACCGAAATTTTCCACAAATGTTTGATCCGTACCGAAAACCAAACCACTCTCCATAAAGGTTTAAAGGTTCGTTTCAACCAAGTTTTAATAGATAAATGTACCCACTTTTTTCTTTTTGTTAAACATGTTAATACCTACCATGTTTGTTTACCATGTGACAATATCAAATGTAAAGGCAACCCATCTCATTTGACAGACACTTGACCCTTAACCTTGCGCGTTTTTGCACTTGACTCTTGACACTTAAACTTGCGCGTTATTTTTTATACCCGAGCGCACTTGTGCACAAGGGTATTATAACTTTGGTCACATAACGGCTGTTTGTAACAGGTAAAACGAATCGAGATAGATATATTCAATGAATGATAAGAAAAAACAATTAAGCGGTGACTGTCTGTCCGTCCGGCGGTCCATCTGTGCACATGATAACTCTAGTAAAAATTGAGATATCTTAACGAAACGGACGGATGGTATTAAAAATGGGCAAAATCGGACAATAACCACGCCTATCACCCATATAACGGTAATTTGGAGAAATACGAAATCTTCGATAAATCAGTAAATATTAAAGTTAATTTATTCAAAATTGATGCTTGCGACAATTCTTTACCAAAAAATACGTGTACGACAAAATTTTGGAAAACGGGCGTGGCACCGCCCACTTGTGATCACATATATGTATCTCGGTAACCGGTCAACCAATTTATATCAAACTCGGTATGGCTATTGTGCTTGCCAAATAAAAGCAAAACGATGAAAATTATTGAAATCCGACTGAAATTTAGGCCGCTTTTCATATAACGGTAAATCTCAGATATGCTTGAAACTTCAATATTTCGAAATTTAAGGACGCTAAATTACTCAAAATTGACACACCCCGGCTTACCATGTTGCGGTGGCTTTCGGAAAGGTGAAAATCTTATATTTAAAACTTGCGCCGGGGATTTAATGTTCGGCTCCGCCCGAACTTAGACTTTATTACTTGTTTGTTTTTCGAACCGTTGAACCGAAATCGTTAATCTTCATCAGCCTAAGGTAAACAATTTTGTCATTCGTTTATTAGGGTGTAACGATTTGTAGATGCCTTCCGGTGCAAGTAAGAGAGCATCTAAGTGTCAAGGGTACTAATAGACATAGACCGTTTTGCAGTATCACCGACGGATAACGGATCTAAAATATTATCAAATGGCAAGTCAACTTATATATGTGTATTATAAATATGTATGGGTATGTATTTATATACATTTGTAAAATAAAAAATTATGTGCGATGCCGAGTCGATAACAATTGTTTTTCATAGATTAGTTTTATAAATGGAGTCTAATTGCGAAAATTATATGTAGTATATATTCCCAATAGTCTTCTGTGATCTAAACAGTAGTGTTTGGCCTTTTGAGTGTAAATGTACAGAAATTGAGCTGCAGAAACAAAATTAGTGTAACAAAAACATATTCATGAATACCTCTAAAGAAGAGGTAGGCAAAATATCATTAATTGTTGGTACAGTCTTGAGCGAATTCGCCGTTATTGTTTCTCAAAGCTTACAAATATTCACATACAAGTATTTTTCTAATGCTCGCATATTTTTTATTCTTGCTTTGCACGATTTAAAAACATCTAATATCAACATGAATAAACCGGTTTGTAAAAAAGATAACAAAAAAATGTTTAGAAAGTGCATTCATATAGCGCCTTTAAAAACCAGAATTTAAACATTTGTTTAAAAGGTCAACAAAATATAATTTTCCACCATATGAAAATTTTTTTGAATAGACAAACGGTGGCAAGAATGTAAAAAGGGAAGAGGCATTTTAGCAAGTTTTGGTAATTTTTTTTGTTTGAAAAATTCTTATTAGTTTTTTGTGTTTAAATACCAAAAAAACCTTCCCTACGATCTTTTGACAGCCTTCAACGCCAAAGATCGTGGTCTGCGTTAAAATCGCAGTTTTTGTTGTTGCTGTTGTAACAGCACACAAATTCCCAAAATGGTTTTTGGGAAGTTTTGCTGGAGTGACAATCCTTGGAAAGATATGTATAAATCTGCATCATTCCGGTTACGTAGTCCCGACTGTCGTGGGAACCTGCTGATATACGGTTATCAACTCTGAGGAAAATATCAGGTGGATATCTTGTCGCGCATCAAGCCAGAGGCGTATATCTATAAATATGTATGTACGTTAAATATTTCAAGCTCGGCTTCGCCGTCCTGTACACCTGTGCCCTGACACCAGGGCCACAGGGGCTTCGTAGAGACTATTCTGCACAGTTTGGCTTGGTAGAAGAGTGGATCAATCTTTCTGCCGAGAGTTGCTTCAGGAAGGAAAAATTATTATAAGAGTTCGTAGTACGAAACAGGGTTAGATCGTCCTTGGCGGGGTTGAACAAGTCATTTCGGACCGTCGAAAAAAAAATTTAAAAACCAACGCGAATTTTTAGTAGCTTCAAACATGCAATTTTTTTTATACTAAAATTGTATGAGTTATAAAAACGGTATAAAAAGATCTAAAAATTCAAATTATAAAGATCGAATTTTTGATGAACACTTTTTTTTTTAATTTTTAAATTTGGTATAAAATTTGAAATTTCGATTTAGAGGATTTTAGTTAAAGCATGAATAATATTTTTAACCGACTTCAAAAAAGGAGAAGATTATCAATTCGTCGAAATATTTTTTTTTATGTATGTTACCGCATAACTTTGGACCACGTAAACCGATTTCTATACTCCTTTTTGTAAAGGAAGTGTGTTACCTTACATCTAGTTTAAATCCGATCATTGGATCATGAAGAAATTAACGATAATCTTAAATTTGTATATGAGAACTGAGTCGGTTTTGTTTTTTGTTTAAAAATTACTTGTTATAAAAACATTTTGAATATTAAAAAAAAAAACATATATAGATATAAACGTTTGTCTTAGTGACGGTAAAAATCCGAATCATTCCGGCGATATCGATATAACTATAGTGAACCAGGGTACAAAAGGATTAAACTTTTCTGATATAACTTTACTCATAATTTTTTGCTTTGATTTTTCAAAGTGCTGTTACAGGACACACATTAGTTTTAAATGCACATCCAAAAAAAGGTTACAAATTAATATTTGGCAACTATAGCATACATGTATTACCTGTATGCAAATTCAATGTATACGTACATATATATCATTTGCATTATTGGCTTTTTAAAATATAGAAGCCTGGTCCACCAAACGGTATCCTTGGCCGGAATAACTTTTTGGCGGGTAAACAACGAATAAACAAAGTTGCAGCAGCGAAAGTAAACAGCCGAGAAAGTTTGGAATCTGTGGAGCAAAACAAAAAAAAATAGTAAATTATATCAAACACTTTCAAGGAGCTGCTTTTTAGATCTTACCTGTATGAATGTATCTGATATAATGACACCATAGATGACCCATTGCACTGACACCAGAAAAGTCATAGCAATCAGTGGAAAAGGTAAACTTTCCGAATTCTTCATGCGTATCACATGAACCAACATTGTAAGTGGTGCTGCGAAGAAGCATACCGTGATTATGCAGCAAATGAGACCTACAAATAAGTAGAATTTTTTTATGTAATGTTTGTACACATTAAATCGATAAAGAGACTTATTATCTAGACGCACCCATTACACGTATTTTTTCCGCATCTGCTTCAATGGAATCCGTATAGTACCACACGCCAAATAGAATGCATAAAACAAATCCAAATTGTCGCATGTATGACTTTTTATTTACGGAGAATACATAGTACACCATCGTATAGCACAGGAAGAGAAAGATGCCAATAACATTGACCAAAGCCACGCTACGCTCACCGGTGAGTAAACCATACCGAAGCCAAAACGATGTTCTGAAAAATTGTTAAAGGGATTTTTACTAGCATTGCAGTCAAGTATAAAGAGTTCGCCCACTACTTACGAGAGAAATCCACAAATAAAGGGTAGTCCTGATGATTCGCCTGTGCTCTTCTTTTGTATGTACTTCCGGCATATAATACTGGTGGATAAAAGTTATAAATGAAGCATTATAACAGATTATTTTGTTTACTTACACGCCAGACAAGAACTGCAAAACTGTACTGACCACCGCAGTTGCCTCCAATAACACGTCGTACGTGGGAATTGGCATTTTAAGCGGTATGGAAAATTGCTCTTATCTACCTAAGTGGTTATATCCGCGTAAAGTTCAATTTATGTATATTATTTCACTAAAGTATCTTTATATAATCAGTCTCAATTTATTGATTTGGGAAATAAGTTTTAATTGAAATACTTTCGCGGTAACAAATAATTGTATTAAGTTTTATCTGCCATGCCAAACATATAAGTAGCTACGTCAACTGTTTTCATTTTGCTTTGTTTGTTAATTCTGTCATAAATTTTTGTTTATCGCGCATTTTTTGTTGTGCTCAAATACGAGTTTGTGATCAAAACAAAATATAAGGAAACAGCTGAGGACCGGTATCGCATATCCGCTCTGGTGGCAGCATTGCTTCGTAGCGGTATTCACCATTATTGGAGTGTGCATTTGTAGCTTAACAAAGGAAAGTTTTCTTTAAATTCGGTAAAAAATTTGAAGAAAATAAAAATGTGGGCGTGTAGAGAAGATTTTTCCGATTCTAAAAGTGAAACCCCCAGAGCGCGGAGGTTTCTATTTAAAAACTTATTAACTTTTAAATTTGGCAGATAATGAGAGTAGTAAAAAAGAGGGTTTTTATAAAAAAATTTCACTTTATATTGAAATACTGTTTTACTTAAAAAAGAGTCGCAGGCGAAGTATTGATTTTAATACAAATTTTCTTTATTTATCGAATTATCGATTTTTATAAAAAAGCGCCCCAGGCTAAAATTTTTAATTCAAATTTTTCATTATTTATCGAAGTATTGATTTAAAAAAAAAATAATAATTTATATAAAATTACGCGATTTTTTATTAAAAATTTTATTTATTTATCGAAGTATTGATTTTTTTTAAGCGCCGCCATTTTGATTTGTTTTCTTTGTTGAAGAAAAGTAGTGAAGTTATTAAACGCGTTGTATATTGTTAAAAAATAGAATAAAATACATTTAATGTATACAAAATATACGTGAATATTTCAAAGATCGTATATTTATCAAAATATAAGTGTTAAGTGCTCTTTTTATATGAAAATTTGTTAGTGAAACTGCAAAGAATTAAACAACAAATTAGTTAAATACTATTACTAATAAAGTGAAAAGAGTGATGAATAATGTAAACATATACGATTCCTAACATCCCCGCCAAGTTTCATGGTAACATTCGTGATAGTTTTGTGAAAACACCCAAAAACCCATTTAAGCTAACCATACAAAACTCTTCGAATAGTGATTTTTAAATTGGAAACTAAATAAAAAATTAATCAGACATCTCGTGAAGTAAAGACAGTGAAGTCCATTTTCTATAAAATTAAAAATTAAAAATCCCAGTGGCACTTAATTGAATAATCTCAAATTACACAATTGTTCAATTGATATTTTTTACTTATTGCTCAATTGAAAACAGCTACATAAATGCGCATAGATTAATTAGTTAAAACTTGCATGTTTATAATTTTTTTCCTCTGGTAATTAAGATATACTTACAAACTTGTATCTCTTCTTAATTTCTAGGTTCTTTGGTATTATCATAAATTATGATATATCGATGTTCATTGGCCTCAAGTACCCCGTTTAAATACTTACCAACAAGATCTCAATTCTTATCACCGCGTGCAATCCTAATGTCAGTAAATTAAAGCCTACCAAAAACCATTAAACGTTTTTGATTATTCCAGTAGAACTTAAAAAAAAAAAAAATATTGGCGCATTTAGGTGTAACTGAACACTTTTAGTTTTTTTTTCTAAATTGCTTTGCAAAAATACTTTAGACCCAAGGGTTTACGGCAAACTTTTTTTGTTTGCTTGTAAAGTGGTAGGGTATAATGTACATACAAATATCGTTCTCGGAGAAGTTATCAATTTTGCATATGGTGGCAGCACCACAGTGATACGGTTTGTCAATTCACTTTTTATACGCTTCCGTTTTACAGTTTTTGCAGTAAATGTGCCACAAGTTGCCTACAACTAGGCGTACAAACAAATTTATCATAAAGGTAGTTTTGCATTAAACAAAATACTTAAACACAACATTTTTCCCGATAGATACACTGGAAAATAAATAAATATTTTTATTATAAAATCGGCCAGCATTAATTTGTTCTAACTGAAATAACGTTACATTTAAATGCGGCTGTTCGTGCTTAATGAAATTTGTGAGTTGCTGAAATAAACTCAAATAGTCTGTTGCATAGTTGCAAAATAACAATGGAGTGATTTATTTCGACGCTCTTAAAGTTGTATTAGGGCACAAGATACATACATACATATAGATCGTACACGTTTGTATATGTATATATGTATGTAAATATATATATACATCAGGTTCGTGCAGTTATCAGGTGGTCAGGCGCGGACCCATGGGGGTTAGGTAAACAAAGGGGAAAGTTCGCCCCCTTAAAGATTTTGTATTAGGTGAAAAAATAAATTCGTGGAATAATAATAAGTGGACAAATAAAGACGCAGTATTTCAAAGGTTTCAATCTCAGACTGTTGTTACCTAATATTCTGAAAGCACATTTCTCGCTAAGGTATCAAATTATTCGTAATTGTTTGTAGAATACAATACATACTTAAACGGTTTTTAAAACGAAATGCTTCAAAAACTATATGCGATAAACCGTAAATTTAGAAAATTATGAAAAGTAGAGTTTTTAAGCACAATTTAGTTACCTACTACATATGAAGTGTAAACATAAGTTCTAATTGAACATAAAATTTCAAGCCAGTATATGGTGTGCTTCAAAAGTTATGACTTAATTTATATTTCCCCTCTTAAAAATTACATCAAAAATTCACTTTTTTTTAATATTTTTTTTTCAATTAAAACATCCATAACTCAAAAGTTATGCAACAAATTTATGTAAACATTTTTTGAGGCTTCAAGTATACGTCTATGAATTATATCCAAAAGCAACCAGCTTGATATAGTAGAATGTAGAATGAAAATAAAGCTAAATAACACAAAGGTTATCTGTTTTTTAGAATTGTCCATATGCATTAAAAATCAAGTTTTTACTATTCTGAAATTTCATCGATCCCCCGCAAAATTTCACTCTGGATCCGCCCCTGCAGGTGGTAACACCATCTCTAACTGTGGGGAGCACCAAGTCTCTCCCCAACAAATGTACACACATAGTAGAATTGGGAGGCAAGTCCACGTGGTAGCAAAGTCAATGGCAGTGCTGCTTGCATATATATGTATCAATGTGTGTATGTATGTACATATGTAGTGTGCATGTATCAGGGCTGCCAATTTAGCGCTTTTCCTGCCAAATCTCGTTCTTTCGAAGTCCATTTAGCGCCAGGAAATGAGAATTTTTGACGGATTTTTAGCTTTTTCCCTTATACAATATAGTAAATACATATGTATTTCAAATTACCAGATAATTTCGATAGCATTGACAAAGTTAGATAACATTTTTCCAGTGGGAAATGTTTTACGTACATCGCATGAGGAGATAGACGATGTTCTAAAACATTTTAATTACAGTGATGATATCATAGAAAAAATAATAATTCCGTATAACAAAATTAATTTTGTAAAATGGAATAATATAAGTAATACAATGAAATTTCGGGCAGGAGTTCAAACTTATACGGATGCAGGTGGCAACAAATTGTTTTCCGATCTGGCGGAATTCGCACTTCATTTACTTTCACTACCTTGATCTAATGCGGACCTGGAACTTTATTTAGTCTGCAAAACTTGATGGAAACAAAGCTACGAAATAGTATACCATAGCTACTTTAACTCTTATTCTTATTCTTAGCCGACTTCAGGAGGTTATCAATTTATCGGAATATGTTTTTTTTATGTATATCATCGCATAACTTTGGAACACGCTAACCGATTTCTAAAATTCTTTTTTTTTTAAGGAAAGGTGAACCTCAGAGTTGGTCCCATACTAATTTGGTTTAGATCCGATCATTCGCTCATGAAGAAATTAACAGCACTCTTAAATTCTTGTATGATAATTGAGTCGATTTGGTTTTGCTTCAAAATTACTTGTTCATTTCTGAAGAACTTCGATCTCAGCTGTATTATTAAATTGATAATTATAATTTAAGTAGTGTCTCAAATGAATTGCTTAAAATTGTATTAATATAATCCTATTTAGTTGTCAGCCTTTTTTGTGTGGAATTTAGCTTTTCTTTCCAGCGGTTTTTCATAAAAATCTGGATTTTTTACTCGAAAATAGTTGGCAGCACTGGTATGTATGTACATATATGTACGTGTCTATACAAGAGAGCGTAGCGGGTGTCGAATGCGAATATGACCAGTTGGCTTTCACGGCCTCAACGTGCAGTCTGACTTCAGACTCCCAAAGTGGAAGTCGTTTTGCAGAGAAAATATTTAAAACTTAAAACAAAATTAAATATAGTGGGCTACTGCCAGGAATGCTTATATTATTTTAATAAAATATATTTTTGTTTAATCTTGTTTGTAATGCGGACGTGAAAAAATAAAGCAAAGAAAACCTTGAACCAAGAGAGTGACACCAGAATAAAATTAGCACATACATACATACATATACATATAATATACTGAAAGTACGTACTTTGTACAATTGTAAACAAAGATTATATAAATTATACAACACAAAATTAACAGCGGTCGATTGTTAAAATCCCTTTGTACTCAATAATAGAGGTTAAAAATATGTGGTAAATACCTTTTGTATCAACGCCAGCAGCTACAGCAATCAAGAAAAAGTAAAATATAAAAAATAGACAGCCAACAAGCAAAATAAGAGAGAGGCGAACTCACGCGCATGTTTTATTTAGTTATACGCACCAACAAATGTGATAGAGAAAATCAACAAAATTAACGAATATTGTAAATAAAAACAAAAGCGACTGCGGTATATCTACATATATACATACACACACGCATACATATGTACATAAGAAAGAAACTTGCAAAATAATAATAACAAAAAATTAAAATTAAATATAATAAAATGGAGTTAAATATGTCTGAACAAAGTGAACGTCTGAATCCTGAAAATGGACAACTGTCGAGAAAATTTGAACTAACTCATGGCACTAAATTGTCCTTGCACGAGGCAACGGATGTACTCAAGGTATGTTTGTTGTTTGTGTGATTTGTGACGCTTAAAGGTCAAGTGCTTCATAGTAAGCATGTGTTGCAGGCTCATTGTATGTACATATGAACATGTACATACATATATTATGGTTGAGCGGCAACAAAAAAAAATTTGAAATTCGAAAAGCGGAGGTACTTTGCCTTTGGACGTCAATAGAATATTCCCAAGTTTTTTTTTGTTTGAAATTTTAAGATTTTTGTAAATAATAAACAATTAATGTAATTTATTAAAATAATTTTTAGCAAAATTTTAGGAAGCAGCTTTGCATTTTGTTCCATTAAAAGTATGTTCGACAATGTTTTTGTATGGAGAAAAATGCACAATACCGCCAACAAAAGAATCGCAAACCTGCGAGTGCATTTCTGCGATGAAAAAGGCTTCTCATAAACAACCATTTACCGTTTGGAGGCGGCGTAAAACTCAATTGTAGGAGAAGCCCGGCCAAAGACATGGTGAAACCAAAAACAGGTGTAGTAATAAAGCAGCTTTCTCGCTTTATTTTCTGTATTTTCTTGACATTCGCTTATCTTATTGATTTTTTTTTTCAAGTAGATTTTCAAATATGATAGTGTCAAATTTTACTTCTCGCTCTTATTACTATACCTGGGATAATTTCACCATGGGCCAAATACTTAGCACATGTGTAAGCACCAAATTATTATTATAAATAACTCAGGCAATTCTTATAAAATTTTATTTTCAAAGTATCAATGAGCGGTTAGTTTCGCACTCTGTTTACTTAAATTGAGCCCTTTAAATAGGACCTAAAAACTTTAGACACATTTTTTTCCCTACCACAAATTATTTTCAAGCATTCTATACCGTTTCTACAAAAAATCCCTTTTTTTGTACGCATAAAATACATAAAAAACTTCATGCAACCTTTAAATATAATTGTTTTAAACAAAAAAATGCGGGTATTTTTCCCATTTAGAAAAATCCTACGGTATGAGAAGTTAACATTTAATTTTTTTTGGACCACCTTAATGTATACACATAAATATGTACATATGTATATGCCGATAGTACAAACTTGTGAATATCTGTGGACATATGGCAAAACTATTTATTCCTTGCTCGGTAATATTTTTTTAATGCATTTGTTTCCAATAACTAAACTCTAAATTAATTCTAATTTTTAACTCGATATGCCACTTTAATAAACAATTCAACAATGCTAAAATAATTTATCTGCGAAATATATTTCTTTCATCGAAAATTAAAGCTTCCAATAAAATCAGATAAGTTGTTTCATCGAAAGTGCTCAAATATTTAATATGCATACATTAGTATGCATTTATTTTTGCAAGCGGTCAATGTGGGTACATTTGCATACCGATGTACATAAACACATTATTACATATCTACTTACATGTTTACTAAATATCACATTGTAGACATGTGCTGAATAGATAATGCGCAAATGTAAGCATTATATATTGACCAAAAACAATAAAAACAGTTTTTAGATAGCTTGATTCGAGAGGATTTTGTGGTCGGAAAAATGTATACCAGTTCGTCGATGTTCTCCTTTCCTTCGATTCCACAGTGACCGGCATTACAGTGGTTCTTGTTGTCAGATGTTGCAGGGTAATCCATTGCGAAGTTTAAAAAAAAAAATCATGTTTTCATTATTTGGTGAAATTTTCAGACTACAATATATCGTCACTAGACACGAATAAACCCAGCAAAAAATCGGTAATTGCTTTTAGTGGTAACGTGTTCTAGAAGGCATAGAGTTATAATGCCTTCGAATTTTTTCGCTTCTTTTAGGCATTGTCGGTAATGCAAAGTAGAATGTCCTACAATATTTTATTTATTTCGCTTCTTTGTTTCATTTTGGGGAATGCAAAGTAGAATGTCCTATAATATTTCTTTCTTAATTCGCTTCTTTGCTTCATTTCAGGGAATGCAAAGTAGAATGTCCTACAATATTTTATTTTTCATTTCGGGGAATGCAACGTAGAATGCTGCATCGTAGTCAACTGAAAAATAGAATGAATATCCAAAAAATCTTTTCCTACCGTTAGTTTCTGTGGAAATTTGTCTCGCATAAAAATCATGTTTTGCTTTGTTCAATTTGCAGCGAAGTTGAAGTCAGTCAATGAAGTGAAGTACATGAGTGAGGAAGTACAATTTTAAGCTTAATTAAATATGCATGTATGTACATACCGATTTTTAAGTAAAATCTAAATACATACATATGTATGTATAAAAACAGATTTATAAAAATATTAATTAAATTTAATCTTTTAAGACATTTTCTGATATAATATAAATAAGTATGTACTCATCTGGGCATTCTACATTAGTTTCTCTGTAAGGCATTCTTTGTTCGCTTCTCTGGATTCTGTTTATCCATGCGTTTTCCCTTCATTTGAAGGTAATGCTGCGGGTAAGGGCTTACCGCCAATGACATGCCCATGTTAAAATAAGGCCTTCCTGAAGCGAAAGGGTAAGCGATTCCCATCGCCTAGCTCGTTTCCACATTCGTTTCTATGGTAATCGTGTTTTTTGCAGGGAAGGCGCGAACTCAAAAGTTGACGGCGAAAAAAGACGCATAAAAAACTCTTAACATACTTCGCCGAAGTTTTTAATAAGCATTTTTTTCGCAAATTTTTTTTACGCGCCTTTTTTCGCCAAAAAGTGACGATATGTACGTGTTATTGCATTTGGCGTATACATACGGTGACCATCCGTTCTGTTTTTTGAGGGACCGTACTGTTATTTAAAGGTATGTCCTACGTAGTTTTTCAAAACAGAAAACCCCCAAAATGTACTGATTTTTTTCAAGTGTCCTGCCTTTTTCCCGCATTTTGTTCGATATTTTAAAATTAACTTTTCCTTATCGAAATAAAAGCAGTGTCGATAACTAATTGATAACTACATAAGGGTGAGCTGGTTTTGAAGGTTCAACTAGTCAATGCGTTCTAAATATTGTACGGTTATGGACAATGGATGACGAGAAATTGAAGACCAGCATCAAATATATAGATAAAACTCTTCTACACATTTTTTTTGGTAATCACTTAAGAAAAAAAAATATTTCCCAAGCCAAATTTCTTCCAAACAAGCGCTTTCGTAATTTTTTTGAAAAACGTGTTTATGGTACATTTCGAACCTATTCGTCAATATCTCATGAACAAATTATCCAATCAACATAAGCGACCTACAGTCCTCTTACAAAAATATATTACTTTGACGATTTCGGTGAAACTTATTAGTGTTACAAGCGACCAAAAGGAAATCTGATGAGAAATGTAGATGTTACGGGACACAATCTTCTTTGAAACCATGGGTATTTTTTTCGTGTTCAGCGACCCAGAGTTTGCCTAAAAAATTTACTTTACAGATGTTCATATTTCGTAAAAGTAATATGTAATATGTAATATGCCTTATTATAATTTTGTAAATATTTATTACTAAAAGATTAATACCAATGAAGCAAATGTGATTTATGTTTAAAGTTTAAAATTGGATTAATAATTAAGAAATATACACTCTTCGTTATTTGAATAGGGCATCCTTTTAATACTTAGTCGGTACAGTTTTCCTTCTGTTTGTTTAATATTCATTAACTTTGTATAAAAATATAGCATATTCTACGTCTACATCCCATTTAAAAAATTTTTGAAAATTAAAAAAAAATAAACATAGGGCCACATTTTTTTTGTTGACTGTGCTGCGCATTTTCTTCCATATAAAAATTTTGTCAAGCATACTTTGTATGGTAAAAAATCAAAAAAAGGGTGCGCTATTCAAATGACGAGGAATGTATATATGTAGTATATTTTTGTTATTTTATACTACGCAATTATATGTAGGTAAATTTTTTGAAAAATTGTCCTGCATTTTCAAAATATATTTATGGTCACCGTACGTATACAAGAAATTGCGCGTCAAGCGACGATAAGTTTGCTTGTTTAGCTGAATATGTACAAGGTGGCGCTAAAAATATCTTCCCATTTGAAGACTTTAAAACTTTTTCAGTTGGCAGTAAAATAAAATTAGATTTTTTTTATTGGCCCTTAGTTATAATCAATAATTTGCTCACACAAGCTCTTGGCTCAATCCTTATCCATTCGTCATGAAATATACTAGCCAAAAATGCGATTGCTTTATAAAAAAGAGAACCAACTTGAAATATGAGTGTTTTTACGCTCTAGAAAATAATTTCTACAACTTCACATACGCGGTTTTGCCTTTTGCTGATACGCGGTTTTACATTTTGTTGATACGCGGTTTTGCAATTTAAACGACGATATAAAAATGGTGTGAAAAATGTATAGTAATTCATCAATTGAGAACGGTTGGGCTGATTTCGCTTAAATTTTTTAAGTTGTTCGTAATGCCAGGAGAAGGTTTTTACGAAAGAAAATTTTGGGAAAACCCTCCGGGAAAGTCGGAAAATTGGAAAAATCGAAAATTGATTTTTTTGTATGGAATTTTGTGTGCAATTCCTTCGGAATGGCATTCGAATGGAAAAATAGAAAATTATAAGTGGAAAACTCGGAAAAATCCGGAAGAACGCAAAAAAATTGAATTTTTCGACGAAAGCTGGGAAAATTTCGGATAATTGTGAAATTCATTGGGAGCTTGAATCAATTGGGAACAATTTTCTCCTATGTTTCATAACCGATTCGAATGGATGCTGCTTTTTTGGGAACGTGTTTAGAAGAAGGAGTGCACAAAGTTTTAATTTTTCCGATAGTTGGCGCAGGGGTCGAGCTATGCTTAAAAAAAATGCAGTTGGTTCGTTGGTAGCATTTTGCTTAGATTAGCATAAAGGATTCATTTTTTCCGTTAAGTGGGTCAGAGACCGAACTATTCGAAATGGTCCGATTTACCTGAAATTTAGCAAGTAGGTAGCTTATTGGCTGGGTTAACATATATGATATTCTTTTTGAAAGATGGACCAGAACCGATCAATTCCAAAAAATCTTCAATCGAGTCGAGTCATTGTTTTTCAGTTCGAA